TCGGTAACATGTTTAGCGTGTTTAATACTAAATCGCTATAATTATAAACATGGTATTAAACCGACAGACATGAACTTGTTTGCCATGATTTCGGGCAAAATAGCCCCAAAAACTCTGGGCATTACTGACAGACAAACTGTATATAAAATGTGCAAAATATTCAAGAATTTCCACAGGATCGGTAACATAGCTATCATTAATTCTGTGCTATTTTTACACATATTCTTAATGGTACTATATTGGCAAGAATTTGATCTGGCTAATTTTATTTTAATTGGTATACCACTAGCACTATACACTGATTTAGCATGCTACTATATCTGTAATATTATCATCTATCAATTAGTTTATTATTATGTAATTGCCTACTATTTAACACATAATATTAACATTTTAAACAAATTATTTAAATTATTTTTAAATGAACCTGACAAAATTAACCATGGGCTTAACGTTGTAAAATTAATTGATAAATTAACCATGATATACATGGAAATTGCTGAATACAACAATAATTACTGGTGTAAATCAATGTTATTTACATGGAATGGCAATACTGTAAATGTCAGTACTCTGGCTTATTGTATTATGTTTGGTAATTATGATAGCGCAATAATCAGGGCATTTTTCATTTCCACTTTTATTACCGTAATGTTTTCAATGTTTATATGGATTTACATTTCATCGGTTCTTTATAATGAAACTAAATTTACATACATTTTATTAAATTCATTGTATGCTAAAAATTCTACCATGGGTTTGCAAATAAAACATAAGGTATTTAAAAATTATTACCAGGTTTGTTAATGCAAATATACAGTAATTATTTATTAATTTAGATATCAGTATTCATTGAGCGAATTGGCAAAAATGAGATCGGGTTTTATTGTTGGACATTATTTATTATAAATGAGTTACGTGGTTATGAAGTAAGTGTATATAAATATATACATTTATATCTAGTTAAATTTTAATTATTACTTTACTGTTGCTAATATAATTACTATTTTAGAAGTTTATAGAACTAACGAAATAATTTATCTTAAATTCCAGATTATTGCTTTGTCAATCAGTTTATTCATATTATTTTGTGGAAGTCAACATTAAATTCTCTCTCTCTCTCTCTCTCTCTCTCTCTCTCTCTCTCTCTCATTTATGTCATTACTATTATAAAGGTTATACAGTATATTAATATCTGAATCACCATATTTATATTTATTAATAAATAACATTCAGTAAGTAATAAACTATTCCACAGAAACGAGTTAAAGTATTTTACAACAAGTAGAAATTAAAGCTATTGTGCCATCAAAGCAGTATAATAAATCAAACAATATAAACATCAACATTAACGGGCACTGGCGGAGAGGTAGGTGCAATAAATCCATTACAATTAACATGGGAAAATCATTGCCATAATGTAAATACAATTTATTTGCTTATAAATAATAGGATACAACGATTACAGTTAGTGAACGTAACCCAAAGTTTTCCACTTATTATTTTGCTTGATCTGCAACTGACGGTTGCGAGTGATCTGGGCGTCGGCCACAACACCCTTCAGGTCGGCGTCCAATTGGCTATACCTGCTCTCAATCTCGGCCAACAGCTCCCGGCGCAGGGCCTCTAAATCGCCGCCCCCTCCGCCTCCCGAACAGCCCTCTGAACACTCGGTGTGCAACTGATACACGGCTTCGCCCAACCGGTCAGCCGTCTGGCCAATGGTCTTGACTTGTGTGGCCAGTGTCTGATGATTGGCCACCACTCGGGACAGGCTTTCGTTGACATACCCACCAAAATCTGTCCTAAACTGATCTAGTTGCGATTTAAGGCTTTTCACCCGGTCGTCAAGTGTGTAGAGGCGGTCGTCCAGCGCCCGGAGCACCTCCTCGTGCGCCCCCAACTGGTCGGTCAACTCGTCGGCCCTGAACTCCAACACCTGTCGTAAGTCAAAGTACGAGCGCTGGAGGTCTGGAAATGTCCAGAACTGTGTCCTCTCGCACACCACCCGAGCGGTGCGATCGCACCGGACGTCTGTCCAGTTGCCCGACTTTGGGTCCAATTGAACGCAATCCGATTTGCGCTCATTGGAGGGCCGATTCTCTGCCCACCGGTCGTAGAGAATCCCAGTGCCGTCCGACCACTCAAACCTACCGGAGTCCGAATTCCTGCCGGCGCCCAGCCATACCTGTCCCTTGAGTTTTACCACGTTTCGCAAGTAGTCCAATACATAGTCGTGTTGTGTACGCGATTTGATGGTAAGTACTGTTGGTTGATAGACGGCCGGTGTATCCGTGTCCTCGCCATCGACCCCTTTGGCAGCTTTCGAGGCTTCCGGTGGGGGCTCATCGGCGCCCACACACGCGGCCAACGCCTCCGCCTCACTGACCGCCGGTCCCTCTAATACTTTGTAACACTTTTGTCCGCCCAATAGCTGCCAATCGCCGCACCGGAAATCTAGATTTAATTAGGAATATTAAAATAGTTAATATTTAAACATGATAATTGTTATAATGCATTAATTAGTTAAAATATATAAACGAAAACTACTAACAAAATAAGGTTAGCTAATTAAATAATAATAATTGCGAATTAATTTACCAGATATATCGTTGCCGTACACTATAGGCACCGCCAATAGTGTACTAATAATGAATAAATGCATAACTAATAGTATATTAATAGTGGAGTGTTTTTTAAATCATATAACTATGGATTAATAAAAAATGTTTTGACAGAAATCGTCTTATTATATAAGTTTTTGTGTGTATTTCTAGTTATCAGCGTATTATTTGTAACAATGTTTTTATTGCTTTATTGTTTTCCAGCAATTCATAAAAATTTGTAAATATTTGTTATGAAAAACAATTTTTAAATAATTAAATCATAAAATATAAAAATTAATATATTATTAAAGATTTTCTTAAATTGCTTATTAGCGAATAATAATTAAAAATAAATATTAACTAGATGTTAAGGTCAATGGGAATTGTGGTTGGCAACAGAATGTGTGATATTAAAAGTGAAAGGAATTGGGGGGATTGCTTGCGAATCGGCAAACAATTGTGGTCGTAAATTAATCCGGTATCGCCTGATAGGATGTCCAACAGTATCTATAAATGTAAAATGATTTATATACCTGTGAACCAAAACACTGTAAGGATATAGACATAAAATATTCGGTACGTTCTGTACAAACATTTATTATAAAACATTTAATTTATATTGATTACGATTAAACTTGTTTTCACGTAAGAGTAAACGATTCTCGGTATTTGTCTTTATAATTATTATTAATCATGTTTTTTACCGACATAATTAATTATGTGTTAATCTACAAAACGTACTTTTATTTTGTACTTATAAATGCGGCATTTAAAAATGCCAATTGCCTGTTTAGCATGATTTAACATTTCTCATTTTTTGTTATTATTTTGTTATATTATTAAGATAACTGACATGGAATGCATTATGTATGTTAGGAATTATTATCTAAAAGAATATTCTGTTTATGACATAAATTAAAAATGTTATTGTTAAAATAATAAAATCAGAGTCAATGTTATACATTATTTATGGTGAACACTTTTATATTTCAGTTTATTTATCTAGTAATTTACTTGCAATTACAATAATAATAATTATTTTGACAAATTAAATGTTGTCAATTAAAAAATATTATAACAAATAATAATCACTCATTTATAGACAAAAAAATTTTATTTTAAAAGTCACTTCATATACTGAAATACTGTCTCAATTGGATTATTTGGATCAGTCAACAAATGAACTTGCTTGCATTTTCCTATTTAGAAATAAAATTATATGGCATCAAACAATTACCCTGGTATATATTTTGACAATTATGGACCCAATTTTAGTTAACATAATAACATCAAAACCAAACCAAAAGCTAATTAAACTGCCGGCAAATGAGACAAACTCTTCGAATGACATTTTGGGTGAATTGCGGTAAACGAGTTCGGGTCGGGGCGGCGGGTATACCGACACCGGGTAACCCCACGTCCCATCATTGCCGTAATCATAATGACTTTTACGGCAATTATAATACTCGGTGTAGCACTCGGTGCTGGTGCCGCACAGAACCCTACACTGGGCGCCAATCAGGGCATCCAGAGTGCGGTTTTTGTCCAATACGATACGGCCATCGCTCCCGTAGTCATCAGTTAGATAATTACCGGGCCATCCATTAAGAGCCCTTCTCAGCCGTCGTATCCGACACTCGGCAACGCATTCGTAACGGGACTGATGGCCAGTCGGGCCCTGTCGGTAGTCCACACACCGGGTGTCATACGGGGCCGGCAGTGAGTGTACCATTACTTTCTCGTACTCGACGTACTCGTACACATCGGGGTTGTATTTGAGTTTTATGGCCCGATGTTTGCCATAGTTCAGCACCCGTTCCCCTCCCGCGTGTACAATGAGCTGTACATTTGATATTGTTTTTCTGATCTCCACGTAAAACATTTCCATTAAATAATCATACGAATCGAGTTTATTGTCGATCACATAGCGACGGTAGTCCGTAGACTGGCTGTCATGTTGTGATAGGTATGTGAAACACACCCGACGATAGTCTATGGACTGGCGTACCGGCGCTATCGTACGGCACTTTACGTAGTGTTCATTATTATAGTAATTGTCTGTAGAGTTGTTATTATTATTGATGTATACAATGGGTCTAAATACTAGACAAGTATCGTTAAACACGTGGTGGGCGTTGAATAACAGATTAAATTGTTGTTTAATTGTATAGTTGTTTAGGTAGTCGTATATATCGTGGGAATTGTTAAAATTTACCATGTATTCAGGTTTGACTATGTACTTTTTGTCAATACATAGTGTTATGGCTGGTAGTGATATGTGTGCGTGACTGCCGTAACTGACCGAGGTGCTGACCGGGAATGCAAAATATAGCTGACATATTTTGTACATTTGATATAAGCATATCATTAAACACAACGACATAAATATTACCCGATAAATATTTACCATGATAGACATTTTATTTTATTTTATATAATTTAAATAACATGTTTTGCTATTTTAAATATTTTTATCATTAATCATATTTGCATAAACAACAAGTATACTATAGATTCTAAATTTAACAAGATCAATACCGGTCCATACATCTCCATAACAATATTAGTTATTAATAATAAATCATAAAAAATAATATTTTTGTAAAAAATGACATTTATTACAAAATAATGTTGAACACAATTGAAAGTGAATAAAATATTGATATTCATATTCAAATGTTAAAGCCTTTATGATGAATATTTGATAAACAATAACTGTTTTAGCATGTAAAATGAAATAAAAATATTTAAATGAATAATATAAATGTATTGTTATTATTTTTTATCAAACATAATGTGGTAATAGAAATAACAATATTGATAGATATATAAATGTTATGCGAAATCAATAAAAATATTAATATAAACTGTTGCGAAACACATGATAATTGATTTACCATGACGTTATTATTTTTAATAATTATTATTAACAGTGTTATCGGTACAAAGGTTTGCGCCTACTTGTCCTAACCATATGTGTTGGTTCCCAATAAATTAATACATTGTTATATTTTACAAAAAACATTATTGCTAAATATAACACAAAATATCGTCCCATATATTGACTTATTTAATTTATATAACAATGAACTTTTCGAGAATATTCTGTATTGTAATTCAATTAATGCAAAATAGATGTAATGTTATAAAACAACTAATTAGATCTAGAGCTAATTTTGCATACAAACATTATGTAAATGTTGTGTTTTACGGTTTGTGTTTAACTACTTGTTTGTATCAAATGTACAAAATATGCCAAATATATTTCTCCTACCAAACAATTACAGCCGTACAGTACGAGCACTCGTATCACATATCGATGCCGGCAATCACTGTGTGTATTGACAAGAAATACCTGTTACGGCCCGGAGTGGCGCCGGATGTGACCAAAAACAGCACATCTATTAACACGTATATTAATAGCCTTACGATAAGACAGCAATTCCTATCACTTCTTACCGCCGATGAGATATTCAACAACTCATGTGTAGTATTGGCGCCGATAGGAGTTGACAGTAATGTCGGCGCCGGCGATAAGTACGTAAAGTGCGAGACTGTGTCACCCGTACGGCAATCGTTGGACTATTTTCGATCATGTTTTACCTTTTTGTCCGAAGCGAGTGATGGCCAGTGGGCTCACAAACGGCCATATATTGTCGGAAATAACATGAATTTCAACGACTATTTAGCGGAAGTGGTTTTCATAGCAATTGGCCAATCGGTGCCTAAAGTGAATCTCATTGTACACTCGAGAGGGGAACCGGTGGTCAACTTTTTCCGGCACCAATCGGTTGAGTTCAAGCGTTTAACCGACCAATCGGTCTATCAGTACGCCGAGTACGACAAGACTACTGTCCACTCACTGCCGGCGCCGTATGAAACCGATTGCCGCGACTATAAAGTGGCCGGCGCTCAGGGCTATCAATCCCGCTATAACTGTATAGCCCGGTGTCGAGTGCGGGCACTGAGTCGGGAGTACATGGGATGGCCCGCCCATTACCTGACTTACAATCTACGAAGTAATGACCGTATGGTTGAAATACTGGACACGTATTTTGCGGTTAACTATACAGTGGACGCCCGGATAGGCGACCGGTGCCGACGCCTGTGCGGCACTAAAGCCCAGTGTTATATCGAGTACTATAGGGTTATGAAAAATAAGCTGAATTCCCAGTCCGACGGCTTTAAGTTGGCTGTGTATCCGCCCCAACAGCCGGATGTCCGATACCGTCATTCCCCGAAAGTAGTGTTTGAAGAGTTTGTGTCATTCATCGCCAGTTTAATTAGCTTCTGGTTTGGCGTATCGGTTGTGATGGCGTCCCGAGTGTTGACCACTCTGTGGGCCAAATGTCCGCACCTCTGGTCCCGGTATAGGAATCGGGTTTATTTGTGTCACATATGGACTAAACATTGCGCTAAATATCAATCGCAGTCACAAAATGTTGTGATTAAAAAGTATTAAAACAGTTTATTTTGCTATAATTGATAAAATACTGTTATTTATAAACGATACTGGGTAAATTAAAGAGCTGAGATAATCGAGTGACTCTTTATTGATAGAAATATGAAAACAGTTTTAATATTTAAATTCTCATTGATAGACACTTGAAACCGAGTTTCATATAATTAGATTAACTTTAGTTTTCTTATATGAATTATTATGATTATGAAAATAATCTAGTTGTTATAAAAATCATAAAATACATATTATGTATAAATTTACCATGTTAAGATCCATACAACATTTTATCAAATTCGTAATGTATAATTAAAATGTTTTATAATTTTATACCTGTTTTGACAATAATTCTTAAATAAAATATTTTTCAAATTATTCAAAATATTTATTAAAATTCAAAGGACAATAAAATTTATTCTATTATTTTATGTCATTATTACATTTTTGGAATTGATAATTTAATTTCCTATAACGATATATCCCAATCCAAAACCACAAATGTTTTTGCCTTTTTCCAAACGGATGTAACCCTTTTCGCCCCAATTCTCGCCATAACTATAATAATTATTATACAAATAATTATGGCATAAATCACACAATTTGATTGATTATGAAATACCTATTCCTCGCCAACCAATACTCAACTTCTTTGCCATCCTTTGTATATCCATAGCCATCGCCCACCAGAAGGAGGCTGTGATCGAGTGGTTTATTTTTAGTGTCCTCTTCGGTGTCCAACACATCGCCGGAATAGGTTTGAAATGCATTGCAATCGGACTTAATGTACACAACAAATGGTTCCCGTTTTAGGTAATCGTCAAAATATTTCTTGCAATCTTCCGGTTTTGTCGGATCGTAAACATTATATGAACTGAATTTGAATCCAAATTTTTTGATGACCTCTCTATCGCACCGGTGGTCGCACTGACCGGTAAACGGGTGCTCAGACTCGGTCTCTATGGCCGGCATTTTTTCGCGAATTGAAGTGAATGCCTGATAGGCGTTGATAGTTGTGTTACATATACACCAACCGGGGTCTAAAAATGTATATTTATATACGAGTCAGTTGTGATTAAATTGTAATTAACAATTGTTAATATTATAATATAATACTATAATATTATAATATAATGAATGTTATACTGAACTGCAATCAAACAATTCCTGTGCACTCATTGACTCTAACTTCTTCTTGTCCCTAATAGTCCGATAGGCGCTAATCATATCCAACACGTTAATAGTGCCGGCACTTAGACATTTGTCCTAGGTTAATTACAAATAATAAATGTATACAGTATAATGTACGGTATAACAAGATTTATGCAATTTAAAATTCCGATTCACATTGATTTATATATACTTTACCTGTTTCTTAACGGGTAATACAACTCCCTTTTGTCGCCAATCAATCCCTACGTCGGCATCGCATACATAGACCGACACAACCGCTACTAAGATCAAAGTTTTAATCATTTTTATATTAAATTTATTAATAAAATACTAAAACAATAAATACATTAAAAATTAATTTTCCGTTAGTTTATATACGAAAAGTTTTTACAATTTCTACTTAAAAGACATATTTCGCCATAATTTGCTAAATCAATTTTTCATTACACCATCGCTATACAATTTTCGGTCAGTTGACCATGTTCAATGTGAAATAATACAACTTTTTATCAGCAGTTATTTTTAATATCATCATCATTTACATGTAGCTTTACCTGTATTTAGTTATTGTTAATCTATTGTATGTTTAAATTGAATTGAAATCAAGGTTTACATAATAATAAGTGAAACACATTTACACTATTAATAATATTATCGCAAATAGATATGTCGGACGAGAGACCGAAGTTATCAATAAATTAGTATTAGATTAACAATGCGTTTAGTTATCTGTTTTATTAATATAGATAACAATATACAGTATAATAATGGTATAACAATATACAATATACAGTATAATCAATAGAAAATTATGTATTTGTTTGGACTTAACTGTAAAGTACATTTGCAAAAGTTAGGTTTGTTATTGTAAAATATTTGTTATATGTTTCTATTATTTTTAATTTAAGTCAATTACTTTTTATAATATAGTTAAATTATATTGTTAATGTTTTTGTTTGTGTAATTTATTTCTATTTTAATAGTCCACTTTGTTATTATTTAATGCAATAATGAAATGGACTTATATTTATCATTTTTGTAAAAAACAAATTTATATTTTAGTTATTATTATATGTTTGCTATTTAAATTATTTTATTATTCAAAAAGTTAACAAAGTATTATTTATATTTAATAATGTTTATCTATTAAATGGAAATATAAAAAGGTCATTACTCAAATAATTATTATAAAATATACAACAAAAATATTATAGATGTTTAAAATATAAATTATTTTTATTTAAACAGTGTAGTTATTATTACAGAATGTAAAATAGCATAATGATATGCAATTTACTTTATATTAATGTTATTTACTTTAGATAATAAGTTGCACACATTTTGTAAGTACAATTTTAGTAATTCATATAAAGTGTATAAATTAAATTACATGTATATTAAATTATTTATTTAATTGTAAAACAAAACAAACACCGTTGTTAAAGTAAATAAAATTATATTTCCAAATAAAGTCACTTTTATTTAGAGAGTCATGTATTTACTATATTTGTGCTGTACATAAACTAAAGTAAATTTACTGAGTTAATTTTAACTGTTAAAAATAATTTAAAATTTAGTAACAAATGTATATTTTTAATTTACAATACAATCCATTGCTCACAATATAATTGTTGCTTAATTGCAATGAATACAATTGATGTAAACAAAGTGTTGGCACCGTCTGTGAGGGTGCGATCGGCGGGCAGTCAT